TTCTCTCCCGCTGGCAAGAGGAAAGCATGTGGTCAGACCCTAGGCTGGGCTTCCAGAAACATATCTTGACAGCAGACACCCCACATGCACACCTCCCAACTCACTCACCTGCTTCTGTGGCCGGCTGCTCAGATACCTGGCTCTCCTGGACAGAACCGTGTTCTGGCTCGGGACTCCCAGGAATTCCCTGTCAGGGGTCCTATTTAGTTCTAAAGCACAGACCACCCGCTGCCTCCCTCCTGTGTGCTCAGCCCTGGCAGAAAACAGGTGAGGCCCACCCCTCCACTCATGTCCAGCCTTCTACAGAAAGCCTTTCCTGGCTAGAACCATGACCCAAAGGCTTTTAGGATGAGGTTTTGCCTCCCTGATGACCCATCAGGGCACTAAGCCCATTTCCTCCCTGGAAGCCTCCCCTGAAGGCAGTAACCCCACCTCACCGTGAGCAGATACTCCACGGCCCGGTGGGGGTTGTTGTAGCTGGCTCTCAGGGCTGCCACAACCCGTTCCCGCTCATAGCCCATGGACATAATCTCCGTCAGCATCGTCTCATATTCAGAGCCAGTCACTATGGAGGGAGCAGCAAGGTCCGGGTCACCAGGGAGAGGGATGGATAGCCCCCAGACCCTCCCAAACCCACACAACAAGGCCCAGCTGATGGCTGGGACTCCTAGTCGCTGCTGCCCCAGGTACCGCTCACCCACTCACCCACCTAGCGTGGACGCTGCGTCTTCCTCTCTCCCGCTGCTACCTGAAGAAGGAACAGAGCTGCAAATTCAAGAGAGAGAAATCGGACCCTGATTTCCAGCATCTTGCCCTCCCCCTGGGTGCAAAGGACCACATATGTGGATGCTGGAATGTGCCGGGAGGACAGGGCCCAAACTGGGGCTGCTGCTCCCTGCCTTACCCTGACACAGACTCCGGGGATGTTGTGGGGACTGATTCCTCCGATGGGCTCTTGTCCTCTCTGACGGTAGGTGGGGGATGGGACATGCCTGAGGCAGGGGCCGGCGGGGAGGATGTGGAGGACTCAGGGGCAGCAGTGGAAGAGGCCTCTGGGGGTACTGAGGTGCCTGGGCTGTTTTTGGCCTGTCACACCCAGAAAAAGGGAGCAGGCATCAGTATCCCTATCAAGCCTTGACATCCAGCCACCTCCTGGCCCCACCCTATTCATGGCTAATCTTTCATGGGCACACAGGCTCTTGCCAGCTCCCTAGGTAATCCATGTAATCCTCACAACCAGCACACTTCACCCACCTTGGTAACCATGACAACCACAAAGTTCTTCTCATCTATGCGATAGTCCCTGATGGGAACGTCATCGCTCAAAATCTTGCCAGCATAGATGAGTTTCTGTCCGGCCACAGGGAAGGCATCTCGACCTTTTTCAGCTTCTATCTTTTCCTTTAGCACCTTTACCTGAAGAGAGTGGTACAAACAGTCATTGCAAACCCCAAGATTCTCTCTTTCCTTCTAGTTTGGCAGGGAGAGGCTGAAAGCCCTGAAGACAGTTAAGCTTCACAGTCAAGCATGGAGATTTGAGTTTATTCAGATCATCCCAATATTCAAGAGTATTTACTGAACACTTCTGATGTGCTATGTACTAAAAACAGCAGAAAACACAAACCTTAGTTCTCATGGAAATGACACTCGTGTGCAGAAAAGAAAAACAAGTACGTATTTCAGATGGTGTAAAGTATGATGAAAAATACAACATAATCTAGGAGAGATTCCCTAGATTCCTAGATTAGGAATCTCTAGGGGAGATTCCTCATTCCATACTGCAGACAGTAATCAGTTTTTACTGAGAGTACCTAAGTTAATAAGGCTATTATTAATAGCCTTAAAAAGGCTATATACTATAACCTTTTATAGCTACATACTATAAATATGTACCACATTTTAAAAAAAGATTTATTTTTAGAGAGAGAGGAAGGAAGAGAGGGAGAGGAACACTGATGTGAGAAACTTCAATTGGTTGCATTTCAAAGGTGGCTAACCCAAAACCAAGGCATGTGTCCCGCCCAGGAATCCAATTGTTGACCTTCTGGTTGGTAGAACAATGCCCAACCAACTGAGCCACACTGGCCAGGGCTGTACCACATCTTTAAGCCTCAAAATAACTGTATGAAATAGATACCATTAGCCTCATTTCGTAAAGAAAATGGAGCAGAGAGATGTTAAGTAACTTTCCCAAAGTCAAACAATTGGACAGTTCACAAAAATCTGTGGGTTTCTCCCCTAGCTCAGTGGAGCCAGCCGTGGCCTGCTAACCATAAGGTCGCCAGTTCTATTCCTGGTCAGGGCACTTGCCTGGGTTGCAGGCTAGATCCCTAATTGGAGACTTTCAAGAGGCAACTGACTGATGTCTGCCATGTTCTCTCCCTTTCTCCCTCTCTTCCCCTCTCTCTAGAGAATAAATAAGTCTTTTTTAAAAAACCTACAAAAAAGAGATGTGAATGTCTCCCTCGTGGGGTACTAGTGCGAAAGTGCTAAGTACATAGTTACACTCCATGTTTGTTAGGTCCTAAACACTCTTTTCAGCTAAAAAAGCAGAACAATGTTTAGACTGTGGGATCTGACATAAGGCAGAACCGAATTCGAACCCTAGCTCTGCCATTCCTCAGAGCTGATGTGACTATGGCAAAGTACCTTAACCCTAAGTTTACACATCTGTAAAGTGAGGAATCAGAGTCTCCAAATGACAGGTCTGTTTCCCATATTTAGTGTGATAATAACAGTAGACTAATCAACTAGCAAGTAACAAACGGCCCACAACCATGGACAACTGAAATTAAGGCCGTTTATTATCATTATCAACGACACTGCCATCATCGGTTGGTATCTCCTGCCCACTACTCCCAGATTCGGCCATCAACGTCGCCGAGGAGACGCCTCCAAAGCTGAGAACTCAGAACCCACGTCCCAGAGAGCGCAGCCCAGACGGGAACCCGAGCACGGCTCCCGTGCCCCGCGAGAGCGCTGACATTAGAGCCGGGACCTGGCAGGCGCCCGGGGGTGGGGCCGTCGGGAGACTAGCTTGTGAGCTCCGACAAAGCCGCCAGGGTCTAGGCAGAAGATCAGCGTGGGGGGGGGGGAGAGGATGGTTCGGAACTGTCAGGCAAGTTGAAAAAGGTGAGCTGGACTCTTGCGGCGCCATCCTCCGTGCCCCTCCTGCCAGAATCTCTGCCTCCCTGCCCCCACCCCACCCCCGTATCCCGTCATTCCCACCCCCGGGATCCAGCCTGGCTCGCACCGTCTCGTCAGGCTCCATGCGGATCTTAAAAGTCTGCTGCTGCAGCGTTTTGAGCGTGATGGTGACGGCCATGGCGGGGACCGAGCAATGCGGCGGCCCCGGGATCTTCACACAACATGCAACTCACGCCGCCGCCATCTTAGCGCCCAGCCGCGCCGCTAGCAGACAGCTTCCGGGGCAGGCGCTGCGCGCGCCGACTATCTAAGCACGGGACTTGCGGACGAACTCTCTCCGCCCCCCCCATTGACTTTTGTGGGCATGCACAAGCATGCGCACACTAAATTCAGCGCCGCAGGACGACGCCGGGCGGGGGTGGGGCGGAGGTGTGGTGCTCTTCCCATTCAGTGCGCACACTGGTCTTGTGGCTTCTTGCGAGTGACGCCTTGCTCTTAGCAGTGACGTCATAAGGCCACAAAATGGCTTCGAAGTCCCTACTTTGACCCTTAGGAGTTTCATTTTTTTATGACATTAAACAAAAACTTTCATGTACTTCTTATAGATACTTGTATTTCTCCATAGAGCCTTTGTTCGTGTTTTTTGCATGTTCCAGTTGAGTTTTATTCTGGCCCCGGGCACACTGACAGGAACCTCATTAGGCTCTGAAAGTAGAACTTAGGACTGGAAAGGATACTTGAAAGGTCACCAATTAAAGAAATAAAAACTCAAAAATGCATTTGGCCACCTCTGCTGCTTCCCCAACCACTTTGCTCACTCCATTATCTCCAAGTCTGACCTCAAAAGTAAGATATTAATTTTCAAGCCACCCCCTACATCAAATACAGGTCTCTCCATTAACTTGCTCTGGATATACCAATCCTGGGAGACTTCTCAAAGGGGTGGGGCTCAGCCACAGGGCCCAGGGGGGAAGCTTGAAGGAGGCCCATCCAAATAACAAAGACTTGAGGGGCTGGTTGGCCAAAGCTAAAGAGGGTGTTTTGGGGTCCCGTTATGGGTGAGGCTGGGCTTATCTCCCAGCTACTGGGTGGAGATGCCCCCATCCTGGACTGTCCATTACCTCTCTCTGAACCTGCTCATTTCACAGGTCACATCCAAACACCCTAGTCTGGAACCAGACAGTCACCAAACACCTCACCTACTGCCCAACTGTAACCAAGGTAACCAAGTCCTGGTGCTTCTCCCTTCACTTAAACCCTGAGCCTAGAAGCTTCCATCAGAGCAGGCTGGGCCCATTTCAGGGTTTCTTACCTCTCTCCTGCAACAAGGTTATCAGCTGCCAGCTACCTGCTGGACTTTAATGGCAGCCTTGTGGACCCAATAGAACAGGCCTAGGCCAGCCTCAGAAGCCCAGAGTCTTCCAGATTGTAAGAGGAATGGCTTTTACCACCGAATGATTGCTCTATGTAGTCTTATTCCATAGGTTAAGAGGTACATATGGTTGTGTAAAACAGTATGAGAAAGTGTCTTAAGGTGTGGGTTTAAAAATCCCTGCCCCACCTCTTACTATATTCTGGACCTATCCTCTCATCAGACTAAACCAGTACTAGAAATTCACCAGTTTGGTGCAAGGACTCAGTGAGTTAATACCTGGAGTATTTGAAATGGCACTTAGTTCCTCTTCTCCCACCCAGTGCTTTGTGGGGGTAAATGAAGGCCCCTGTAACCTTGTGGGACATTCAGCTAATGCTTTAGTGGCTGAGAAATTAGTCTTACCGAAGTCATCCCCCCCCCCCCAAAAGCCACCTTTGGTTTCCTGATGTCTGTCTTCCCCCAGAAGAAGACACAGGAGGAAGACACAAAACTTAATTTAATAGAAATTTTGTTTGTAATTCTTACATTCTCAGTGTGAGCTGAGCTGGAACCCACTGCCCCACCCAGAAGTGGCCCAGTTCTGGAGGCAGAAGAGGAAGGGAGGGGTTGGGGGGGGTGTCAGAGCTCAGGGCCTAGGAGCCCCATTCTTCCTCAGTGCTGGGGGGCTGGGGACACCATCCTTGTCTCCTGTTCCCTCTCTGGGCTCCAGGAAGAACAGATGGAATCTTGGGCCTGGGGCTTCTCTTCCACAACCCCCATACCCCTAGGTTGGATGGGAAATTAAGGGATCAGGGGAAAGCAAGGGACAGAGGAAGGCAAAGATGTCAAGAAAGATGAGGGCCAAAGGAGAATCAGAGACAAAACACCAATGGAGGGGAAAAAAAAAAAAAAGGGTTGGGGGAACAATACCAAAATCCACCCCAAATTGGAACCCGCCTGGAAAAAAAAGGAAAGTTCTCCAGTCTCATAGAGACATTATTTGGCGCAACTGGCTCTGTGGTGGGCACGTTCAGGCCTCAGTCCAGCCCTGGAAGAAGTGGCATGGCCCCTACAGCTCATCCTTGGCCTGGCCAGCAGCAGCATCTTCCTCTTCCTCCTCTTCCTTATCCTCCTCTTCCTCCTCATCTTCATCTTTGTCCTCCTCATCGTCGTCCTTGTCCGCCTCCTCCTCCTCCTTGCGCTTCTTGTCTTCCTCCTCCTCCCTCAGCCTCTGTTCCTCATCCTGCTTGTCCTTCATTTGCTTTTCTGCTGCCTGCACACAGATCACACACTCAGGGCCTGGCCCCCATCTGCCAGCCCTGCCTGCCCCCACCCCAGCCCATGAGTGGACCCTAGTCCCACCTTTGTGGCGCCCCATGTCTCGTTGCCAAACTTTTCAGCATATGCTTCATCGTTGGTGATGAGGAAGTTGTCGAAGATGGTGCCAGACTTAACCTGGGGGTAGAAATGTACTGAAGGTCAGAGATCACCCCATGGCCCCAGCCTTGAATTCCATAACCACTACACAATATCACAGTCCGACACTATGATTTAAAAATCATGATAACACTATGGTTCAAACCTCAGCTCTGCTATATTCTGCCTGTATGACCTTGGAATGGTGACTTCTCTGCACCTCAGTTTCTTCATCTGTATGAGGTCTCACTTCGTTACCTTGTGTAAATGTTTTTCCAGTACCTACTATGTGCCAAATTCTAGGTACTGAAGGTACACTGGTGAACAGAACTGACAAAAATTTGGTGTCCCCCCACCAAAAAAAAGTTTTGGTCCCTAATGGAACTATCTAACCACCTTCTAGGTCATTGGAGGAAGTTAATGAGTTGGTTCAGATAAGGTTCTTGAGGGAGTGCCAAGCATAAAGTATACAGAACCTCAAGGGGGGTGCTGTGAGAATTCCATGATGACAGACCAGGAAATTCTTCTGAAAAAAAAAATCACCATTTTAGGCTCATAACTGCCTAGGATTGACTCCTACTCCTGTCCCTTTCCTACAGGGTGATCCTGAACATTTGCAAACCCCTAGCAATCTTCCCGTTTCCCCCACATCTCACCTGCCAGAGGTCAAGGCCCAGCACTGCAAAGTTTTCATAGGCATAGATATTGCTATCAGGAGAGTACTCAGGGTTGTCGATCTCTGGGTGGATCCAAGTGCCTTTGTAATCCGGGTTGTCGATCTGCCGGGGCTTCCACTCACCCTATAGAAGAAGGGGACTCGAGGTGAGTGGAAGTCAGCACGCTCCCCTCTGTGCACCCCACTCTGCCTGGAACCCCAGGATCACCTTGTATTCTGGATTCTGAATCACTGGTGGTTCCCACTCTCCATCCATCTCTTCATCCCAGTCCTCAGGCTTCTTAGCATCGGGGTCAGGGATGTGCTCAGGCTTGTCCCAGTCCTGAAAGTACAGGAAAAGGTAAGATTTGGCCTAGCTGTCCACCAGCCCCTCTGTGTCAGGAAGCCCCTGTCCAAACACCAACCTCAGGTTTGGAGTCTGTGGGATCATCAATCTTGGCCCGCTCGTCCCAGTCTTCGGGCTTTGAAGCATCAGGATCCTTTATCTTCTTGGGTGGCAGAAAGTCCCAATCATCTTCCAGGGAGCCTGACTCCACCTGGCTATTGTCAATTTTCACCTCATAGGTGTTATCAGGCCGCACAATCAGTGTGTATAGGTGTGTGAATTCATCATCCTGAAGAAGGCAAAAGTGAGTGGCCCCGCCCACTAGACTGGCCACTGAGCCTACCCCAGACAGCCATTTGTCACCAAACCCAGGCACACCTTGCAACGGATGTCCTTGTTGATCAACACGTTTTTGCCCTTATAGTTGAAGATGACATGAACCTTCTTGGTGCCAGGACCACAGATATCAGGGCCTAGGTGAGAAGCAGTTGCAGTTAAGGGCCAGAGGCTGTCCACCACTGCCAGGCACCCCCACAAGCCCTATTTCCAACAGGAAGACTTAATTCTGTTTTAAAACTGAATTGGGCCCTGGCTGGTGTAGCTCAGTGGATTGAGCACGGGCCTGTGAAGCAAAGGGCTGCCAGTTCAATTCCTAGTCAGGGTACATGCCTGGGTTGCGGGCCAGGTCCCCAGTAGGGGATACATGAGAGGCAACCACACGTTGATGTTTCTCTCCCACTCTTTCTTCTTCCCTTCCCCTCTCTAAAAATAAGTAAATAAAATACTTTTTAAAGAAACTGAATTGGGGTGACATTGGTTAATAAAGTTATGTAGATTTCAGGTATACAATTTTATTACAAATCATCTATAAAAACATTGTATTGTGTGTTCACCACTTTAAATTAAAAACACCTGATTCTTAAATTCAGGTCCATTAAGACTCAAAAGACAGGATTCAGACTTCAACTATCTCTAAGGGGTAATGAGAACTGGAAAAAAACATGCACACTGTAGAACTCAGTATCCTAACTTGTAAAGCTGGAAAATACCTACCTAAAGCCACACAAATTAACAGCCTTAGACCAACAATAACAATACAACTATTGCTGCTGTGACTACCCTCTAAGTTTCCCCTTCAAAGGAAAGCCTGACAATGTGTTTCCCAGGCTCTCATGACCACCTTTCATGGGTTATAAGAAACCATGGATGGGTTTCAGTCTCCCTCTAATCAGAGGTCAGCACTAGGGTAAGGCCACTCACCAAACATAATGTTGTATTCAGAGTCGCCGTGCATGTCCGCCTGGTCCAAACTCTTTGGAAATAGCTTCACATAGCCGCCCCCACAGTCGATGTTCTGTTCATGTTTCACAGTAAACTGCACCACTAGCGTCTGGTCCCTGTTGCTGAAAGGCTCGAATCTGGCGGACAGGGCGTAAAAGCGGGCATCCTGGCTCGTCTGCAGCCCTAGCAGAGAATAGTATTGAGGTCACAGATGGCCCCAATCCCCGGGAACCCTAAGGTTCAAAGATTCAGACAACCATTCCCCTTCCTCCTCTTCCGCTGCTCCTGGGGATGCCCAGGCTGTCAGTGACTAGGGCTTCCTCCAGGAAGTCCTCCTGGGCTTCAGCACCCAACCTCAGGTTCTTACCTTTATCTTTCTCCAGATCACCATAGAACTTTCCAGCACTGAGGACAAATTTGCCAAAATCCGACTTGTGCTTGGATTCGACCCAACGGTTGGTCCACCCGTCTGCGGGATGAAAGGGGCAGGTCAGCGCGATTGTGCTGATTCCTCCCCCACCCACCAACTCCGCCGCAGCTCAAATGCATCTTCCAGGAGCCATAAACTGTTGTACTAAAGAAAATCCCTGAGTGCCCCCACCCCAATCTCGTTTGACAACCTCCGGTGGCTTAAGAGATCCTCGGACGAATCGTAAATGCTGCTGCGGGAGGCCGCTGCACCCTCCTAGTTCCCCAGGGACGTGAAAAGGATCGCCTGAGGCTCTAGTCATTGGGGCCACCGTGTTGGCCCTCTGAGCAGTAATTAGAGGCGACAACGCAGATCTGGGCTGGGGGGCCAGTCGTGTTGTCGGGGCGGCCTCGAGGAGGGGCCAGGCGTTACCTCCGTCCAGAAACTGCTCCTTGAAGTAGACGACGGGTTCGGCGGTAGCCTGGATGAGAAGGCCGAGCAGCAGTGACACGGATAGCAGCATGGCGGGCCGAGGGGGCGGCGGCGCGCGGACCCTGCAATTCTTCTCCAACAGCGGCTCTGCAGTAGGGACGGATGTTGGGGCTGGCCGTGACTTTTTATACACGACCGCCCCTCTAACCAACCTGGCCCTCCCTCTTGGCCCGCCCTCCATGCCTTTCATTGGTCAGTGGCCACGACTCTGACTTTCCATTGGGCTTTCCTCAACTCAGCAAGTTAGGCTGTGCCTAGGAACGCTCGGTTCCCAGATGGCCGATTTCTATTGGCCTCACCACTAGCCAATGAGTGTCGACCACGCGTTGTGGGAGACGCCCGCCGGTGAAGTAGGGGCTTCAAGCCCCTCAGGAGAGATCATGTGACCAGCGGTCGGCCCAACCTGTACCTCGCTTGCGCGCGTAGCTCGGGATCTGGAAATTTAAAGAACTCGCGCGAGCGCAGGTGTGGTCGCGACTAGGACCCTGCCCTAGCCCCAGCCTCACCTCCTCGGATCCACTCTGCGGGGAGATATAGGCAAGGTTTTGTACTCGCATTTGGAGAACTCTCACTACGACGCGCTGTCTCTGGCTTTCCCTCTCTCCTACCGCTTGCACCCCAGGATGAGGCAGAGACCACCAGATGCTTGGGCTCTGGTGGTCTCTACCTCACTTCACCATGGCGTCAAAGTCATGCAGGCCAGCAGAGTGTGCCAGCTGTCTCCAAAATGCAGCTCCTATAGTGCCTGGTACCCTGGCAGACTGCTGCTGTGTGACCTGGAGCAAGTCAATTAGCCTCTAATGTCACAGGAGCTCTTGAAAGGCCAGGAGGAGACCCTTGGCAGCTGCTGCCCAGCAAAAGTGCTTTCAAAGCTTTCAAGGACATCCTGGGAAAGAGGGAAGGAAGCCCAGAAGACTCGGAAGATATGACTATAGGCTGTAACTCCTAGGGTCGGGTTAGGGCAATCCTTTAGTTGCAGCCTGCCGCTCCTTTACCACCCCTCCCCCAACCTCTTCCACCCCCGCCAGTAAATGAAAGGGGTCGCTCTTTGTGGTCTCCCACAAACGGCCTGGCTTTTGCAATTAAACGGCTAAAGTCAAGAGGGCAGGGGGTTCCGTTGGGGAGGAAAAAAAGAGACAGATGGTAGAGAAGATAAGGTCTAAGGAGAGGCGTAAGTCCCCTGAGTCTAGAGTCTTCTGAAGTCAGAACCGCGTTAGTGCCAGCATAGGGCAGTCTTGAGGAAGAAGGGCTAGGGGGTTTCCCAAAGAGGGAAAGAACAAAGAGGTCCTGGACTTAGAAACTTGGGAGTGGACCTCGGAAGGGGAGGAGCAGGGGAATCTTCGCAAAAACGGTGAGGAAGTAGTGCTTTCCCACTAGTGGTGGAGACTCAGAAAAGGGAGAAATGAGGGATTTTGCAGAAATTGGGATTCTGCTCCCTCCCCCATGCAGCGTCCAGTATGGCCCAACCTGGCCCCCCCTTAGGAGAAGCCCCAAGTCTGGAGTGTCACTCCAGGCCTGCCACTGACCCTCCTGTCTTCCCTCCCTTTCACCAAGTGCAATGGACACATGGATTTGGTACTTCCTGCGTAAGGGTAGACACTGTGCTTGTCTGGTTGACTTCACCATCCCCCAGTGTTCCCTGCAGCACCTGACAGAACAGGCTTAAAACCTATCTGTGGCAGAAGGAAGGATGCTTGAAGAAATTAAAAATTTAAAACATGGGAAAAGCGCTTTGAAGGAAAGAAGGGACTTTGAGAAATGAATTCTGAATTTTTTAAATCAGGACTTCACTGTAGGGTCAGGATTGGGGAATATTAGTAACCCCATTTTCTAGGTTCAAATAACAATTGTGATGGCTAAATGACTAAAGGAATACTGCTTAGCATAGTGCCTGATATACAGTGCACATTCAATTTAGTATTAACAAATACTACATGAGGTGTGAGCACTTTCACAATTCTCACAATAACCTGGACTGATAATACCTCCATCCACGTGAGGAAACTGAAGCACAGCAAGAGTAAGTGATTTGTATGACATAAATGGCAGACCTGGGATTACAATGTACTTGGGCTGTCTAATAGCATCCACTGGCCACATATAACTGACCATTTGAAATGTGACTGGTACAAACTGAAATGTAGTATAAGTGTGAAATACACACCAGCCCTGGCTCCTGTGACTCAGTGGATTGGGTGCAGGCCTGTAGACCAAAAGGTCACTGGTTTGATTCCAGGTCAGGGCACATGCCTGAGTTGTGAGCCAGGTTCCCAACTGGGGGCATATGAGAGGCAACCAATTGATATTTCTCTTACACATTGATGCTTCTCTCCCTCTCTTTCTCCCTTCCCCTCTTAAAAAAAATAAAATCTTACTAAAATAAAATACACATCATATTGGACTGGATAGGTAGTACATTTATTTGGTTAGAGCATCATACCCATATGCCAAGGGAGTTGGTTCAGTACCCAGTCAGGGCACATGCAAAAGTCAACCAATGAATGAATGAATAAGTGGAACAGTAAATCAATGTTTCTTTCTCTCTAAAATCAATTTTAAGAATAATTAAAAATATTTTAAAAATTAAAATACTCATCAGATTTTTAAGGCTTAGTATGGAAAATTGTAAACTATTTCACTAGTAATGTTATATTAAGTGTTCAAGTCATATAAATGAACATAGCAGTTCTTCAAATTAACTTTACCCATTTTGTTTTTAACGTTGCTACTAGAAAATTTTAAATTGCATTTGTGTCTCTCATTACATATCTTTAAGCCAGTGCTGATTTAGACCACGCATTATTGCCCTGACATTGATTGCAGAGCCTGAGGTAGGGGTTGGGTGGAATCTGGAGTGTTTACAATTTCTGATTTCCATCTCTATCAGCTCCTTGTAGGGCCATGTGCAAACCACAGCACCCTCTGAGCATCAGCTTTTGCATCTGTGAAATGGGGATTATATCAGTATCTACATCATAAAGTTTTGGAAGAAATGGAATAACACACCTGAAGCACTTAACACTGGGTTGGACACACAGCTGGATGTCCACACAGGTTAGCTGCTACCTGGGCTATTATTAGGAGGGTCCTTCTCCCCTCTATAAATGGGGATGGTCCCTACCGAGCTTCCCTTTGAAAATTTAAAAGCAGTTGACAATAGCAGAATGATTAGCTCTATAGTGCAAGACAATACCAGAAGGGTTGGGGGTTCCAAGGCAAAGAGAAGGAGGAAGTCCAAGGTCATATAGCCCGTTGCAGGTGGGATTAAATGAAACTTAAAACAACGCTCTGATCCGCTCCTCGAGGTCAATCAATTTGACCTGTCGAGTCAAGTGGATACCACAAGGCCACCTAAGGCCAAGGTAAGGACTCACCGAGTCTCTTCCCGGCTTTAAGATTCAATTGACACACTCAAGATGGCGAGGCCCTGGACCCTGCAACATGACCAGCCACATTCAAGAAGGCCGCACACACTTCGGCGCTGGTTCCGGTTCCCGTCGTTCCGGAGCCGGTTCCGGTTCCGGTGTTTCTGGCCTTGGGAAGCACACACGGAGCCACCTGGCAACAGCCATGGCGGACGGTCCGGTGGCGGAAGTGTTGCTGAAGCGGCTGGAGGCGGCCGATGGCGGCCTGGATACCGCGAATCTAGCGGCCGAGCTGGGAGTGGAGCACCAGGCCGTGGTGGGAGCGGTGAAGAGCCTGCAGGCGCTGGGCGAGGTGAGCGGGGCCTTCTCACTTTAGCGCCTACCTCCAGGGCAAACTCCCTCAGGCCTGTTCAATTCAGGATGCAGGACAGGGAGTCGGGAACTTCTCAAAGGGGGGATCCGGGTGCACTGACGTTTCTCCAGCAGGAGACGTCTATTGAGAGCACGATTTACATTGGGGCGGGGGCGTTACTATGGTTGACGAGGAAGACACAGTCGCTGCCCTCAGGGAGACTGCTATTTAATGGGGTAGGTACTCACGCGACCTGAATAATGGAGGAGTCACAGGGAACCCAGAGGTAGCAAATGACCCAGCCTGGGGGAAAGGAGAGAATCCCAGACGAGGTGGCAGCTGAGTTGGGTCTCTGCATCGAGGAGGAAAGCCATGGCGCTTTAGAGGTCAGTATGGGGTTAGTGGAGCAGAGGGTGAGAGGTGAGAGAGACCACAGAGCTAGAATTTGCAAAGGCTTTCAGGTCTCTCACAGGATGGTAGGGAACCATTACAGGAGCTGGAGCTAGTCTGATGTGTGTGCTGCCTATATCACTCTTGGGAAGGACTGGTAGGGGCAGGCCAAGACTGGGCAGAAACATGCCCCCTAAACTAGAGGGCATGGTGTCTGTAGGATGGCAGCTGGGAGGGAGAGGTGATTTAGGAGAGGGAATGAAGTGAGATTCACGGCAAGGCAAGGGGAGCATGAATGAAGCCCAGCCTCCCCACTTGGATAAGTGAAGGCTTATGGAGCATTCACAGGAGGAGGACGCTGAGGGGCCTGTGGGCCACGGGTGAGGCTGGACCCATGAATGGAGGACACAGAAAACATATCTGAGCTGTTCATTCATCAAACTTATGTTTTGTGCCCCCCTCTGGTTTCAGCTTTATTTGTCATTCAATCCTTGCCATAACCATAGGTTGATGGTAGCATTGTTATCCATTTTGCAGATATGACCACTCCTAAATACTGGTCAGTAATTGGATCACTGTCACTAGAAGGGACAGTCAAACCTGGATTTGAAATTGCTCAGGCTGCAATGCCCAAGTCTGTCAGTTTGGAGAAGGGATTAAAGCAATGGTGTGTGGGATGACAGTATCTTGACTGATGTGAAATTGACATTTGTGTAGGTCATAGAGGGTTGAATAGTGCGAGATTTAATTGTGATAATAATAGCAATAGAATTTACACAGCATTTGCTGCATGCTAAACACCCTGCATGCTAAGCATCCTTTCTGTATTAGTTCTATTGCTCTTTAGAACAACCCTGTGAGGTGGAGCCCACCACACTCTGCTCTCATGGATAAGAAAACTTGTTCATGGAAGTTGAGCACCTTTCCTGAGGTCAGATAGCAAGTGAGGAGCAGAGCTGGAAATTAGAATGAAGGGGGAGCTAGGACATGTGGGCTCCACACAGCCTTGCCCCTGCCTGTATAACCTGAACCCTGTCCTCATCGTGGAGCCTCAAGCTCCTGTGTGTAATGTGAACCTCTGGGACCTTTCTCTGACTCTTCAGGCCCTGAGATGGGAACACATAAACATAAAGACAAGTCAGTTCATCTGAGACCTTAAAAGTCTTCCCCAGGTTTTTAAGAAATCTGTCCTAGGTTAAAAAGTGATAGAGTTTGTCTTCTGCCAGGCAATACCTTTAGTACTTTACTTCACCCTGGGAAGTGTGAATCATATTTATTGTTATCCCTGTGTCGTAGAAGGGAAACTGAGACTCAGCAAGGGGAGATCACTTGGCTGGGAAGAGGGAAAGCTGAGATGTGAAGCCAGTCTTAGGGGTTATACTTTGACCTTGGCTCCAGTTCTGTAACAAGAGAGCACCTGGCACTAACCCTGCCCCTGCTTCTGCCTTCTTTTTCCTGCAGATCATCGAGGCTGAGCTACGTTCCACCAAGCACTGGGAGCTTACTGCTGAGGGCAAGGAGATTGCCCGAGAGGGCAGCCATGAGGCCCGGGTGTTTTATAGTGTGCCCCCCGAGGGCCTGGCCCAGAGTGAGCTCATGGTAGGGCCATGGGTGGGCGGGCAGAGCCTAGGGAGGTGATGGGGTGAAGGTGGCCCTTGTGCCCCCTCACTGCAGCCTTGCTCCTCCAGCAACTGCCCAGTGGCAAGGTGGGCTTCAGCAAGGCCATGTCCAGCAAATGGATCCGTGTGGACAAGAGTGCAGCTGATGGGCCCCGGGTGTTCCGAGTGGTGAGTCTCTATGGTTGAGCGGGGAGACCTCTGGCCCTCACAGCTACTCACAACCATCATCCCATTATTCCCATTATCCATCTATCATCACGGCAGGTGAACAGTGTGGAAGATGAGGTACAGCGGCGGCTCCAGCTGGTCCAGAGTGGGCAGGTCGAGAAGCTGAGTGAAAAAGAAAAGAGTGAGCTGAAGAAAAGGAAGCTGCTTACTGAAGTGTGAGTGGTGGCCACCCCCAGGCTCAAACCTATGTCACCTGTGTGGCCCTTGGATAGGAGAAGGGAAGGGAGAGCTATTCTGGCCACACTTGGCCATGATTTTGTTAGCCCCTCTTCACATTATAGTTGTCAAGCACACAGGCCAGGCCCATGCCACCTCAGGGCCTTGGCATTTGCTCTGTCTTCTGTCAAGAATGATCTTGTTGATCTTCAAGGCAGGTTCCAGCAGTCAACCTCTATTCATGTGTCACAGGGACTACCTTTTCTCCCACAAGTTCCATAAAAGCCACTCACTCCTAGTCTCTATTTATTTCTTCCACAGTCCTAAACACTGTCTGAAATTGACTGAATGCTGGGACCTGGACGGCTGGGTTCTCCGCTCTTACAGGGTTGTGTCCCCTTTCAGCAGACACTGAATGGAGGTGGGCTGCCCAATCCAAGTCCCAGCTCTGCCACTTACTGGCTCTGTGACCTTGGCTAAGCACTTAATCTTTCTAGGATTCAGTTTTTTCATCTATAAAATGACCCCCTTTCACAAGATTGTGGGGTGACTTCACTGGAACAGAGCTGGAATAGGATAACTTTATCTATCTAAGCTTTACCTGTTATTATCACTCCTAACTGTATGCTTTTCTTTTTTAAAAGATTTTACTTATATATTTACTTTTTAGAGAGAGGGGAAGGGAAGGAGAAAAAGAGGAAGAGAAACAGGTTGGTTGCCCCCTGCACATGCCCAGCCAAGGACCTGGTCCAAATCCAGGCACCTGTCCCGACCAGGAATTGAACCTGTGACCTTTTGGTTTGCAGGACAGTGTCCAGCTCACTGAGCTACACCAGTCAGGTACCAGCTGTGTACCTAGTGCTTTGAACGGGCTCTGGCACACAGTAAGTTCTCAATACGTGCTCGTTGAAAGAATAAGTTAATGAATTCAGGATATAGGTAGAGGCCAAATAAAAGGATTTCCAGGTAACACTAAATATCAGGAAAAAAATAAATCAGCCTTAGCTGATGTGGATTGCTTGGAACATCGTCCCATACACCTAAAGGTCATGGTTCGATTCCCAGTCAGGGTACATACTTAGGATATGGGTTCAGTCCCCAGTCAGGGCACATATGGGAGGCAACCAGTCAATGTTTCTCTCTCACTCCCTTCTCTAAAATCAACAAATAAAAATTGAAAAAGAAGAGAAAGCATAGTGACTTGGTGGGTGGTGCTGGGGTCAGCATCATTTGGGAGATCAGGTGAAGAAGTTGACAGTGATGTTCCCTTCCCTCCTCTGGCCTAAGAACCCTGAAGACCTACTGGGTGAGCAAAGGCAGTGCCTTCAGCACCAGTGTCTCCAAGCAGGAGACGGATCTGAGTCCAGAGATGATCTCCAGGTAGGGGCAGCCCCAGGGCGAAGGGTTGGTGGGGATGGGCAGTCCCCACCAGACCTATGAACCCTGCGTCCCCATCCACAGCGGTTCCTGGCGGGACCGGACCTTCAAGCCCTACAATTTCTCAGCCCATGGCATCCTCCTTGACAGCGGTCACTTGCACCCCCTGCTAAAAGTCCGTACCCAATTCCGGCAGATCTTTCTGGAGATGGGGTGAGCATGGGGCCGGGGCGGGGGGGAGCTGGGCCAGCCCTAGGCACAGGCAGGGTAGTCAGGCCACTTCTCTCACCAGGTTCACTGAGATGCCAACTGACAACTTCATTGAAAGCTCCTTCTGGAATTTTGATGCACTTTTCCAGCCCCAGCAGCACCCAGCACGAGACCAGCATGACACTTTCTTCCTGAGAGGTGGGTGGCCCCGCTATGCCATCAGAGGTGCTGGGCCTGGGCAGAGTCTTTGGGGTGGTGTACCCTTTTACAGAATAAACTCCACCTGCCCTCCTGACCACCTCAGGGCACTGCCTCTGCTGTGCCTTCTGCTGACCACTGTTTTCTCCTGGATCTTCATGGAGGGCTCTGGTGTCAAATGTGCATGTGTTACCTTAGAGAAGTCATTCCTGACACGCCTTGGTCCCCATTCGTTTCTTTTTTAACCATTCTTAGTGCTGTGTGAAACTGAATGGCTTTCCACAGTGGTGGTTTCTCCCACCAGGAGGAGGAGGTCTGGTGAGACCAGTAAATCCCCACTGCCTGGCTGGGATCAACGGCAGCATTGCCATTGTTATTGTCACAGCACCCCAAACTTACTAAGCACTCCGTATACACTAGTTGCTCTTCTAATCTTCCTGCCAACTATAGGAAAGTAATACTCTCAGCCCCTCTTACTTACAAGGACACTAGGGCTCAGAGAGGGAACTATACTGCTCAGGATCCCACAGCTTGTAAGTGGTGGAGCTTTTCTGGCACACCAAAATTGTGTCTCTAAAAGGGGATCTCAAGAGTTTACACCTCCCCACAACAAATGGTTGCTGAGCTCCTCCTGTGTGCCAAGGTTTCTTTTCAACACCTGGGTCACAGCCATGAATGAGACAGAAGTCCTTGCCCTGATGAGACCTGCATTCTGGCAGGGGAGACGTGATAAACCCTAAATAACCTGTGATTGCAGTAATGCAGGATGGCAGTAAATGCAATGGGGGAAATTCGCATGGAAGAGGAGCTGTCAGGGCTTTTTTGTTTTGTTGTTGTTGTTTTTTAAGGTTTTTTTGTTTTGCTTTGTTTTGTTTTAAGTCGTTGCTTAAGCAAAGATCAAAGGAGGCTGAGAATGGCCTATATCTGGAGAAGGGAACTTCCAGGCAGAGGGAATGGCCAGTGCAAAGGCCATGAGGCTAGAACGTGCCTGATGTGCTCACAGATCAGCTGGGAGGCTCTGTGACTGGAGGAAGTGATGAATTAGGATTGGGAGGGATGTGGACAGGGAGTTGACTAGGGACCACAGAGGAGACTTCAGCTTTTTCTAGTAGTAAGGTGGGAGCTGTAGAAGGTTCTCGGCAGACAGGCATATGATTGACTCAGGTATTCCTGGATGCCCTCTGACTGCAACGGCAGGTGAGGTTGGGAGCTGCATCTGTGTCCTCTGTTCAGTGGCTGTTTGAGAAATCCTACATGACTGACTCGGTGATGCTCTGTCCTTCCCAGATCCAGCTGAGGCCCTGCAGCTCCCAATGGACTATGTGCATCGGGTCAAGCGGACCCATTCCCAGGGTGGCTATGGCTCACAGGGGTGAGGCAGGACCAGGACTTCAGGGTGTTGTGGGGAAGGAAGTTGGGGACCTAAGGACATCAGCATGGACTTCCGGGTTTCCTCCTGAAGGTACAAGTACAATTGGAAGCTGGATGAGGCCCGTAAGAATTTGCTGCGCACACATACCACAGCAGCCAGTGCCCGTGCCCTATACCGTCTGGCCCAAAAGGTACAGCTAGGACTGGACAGTGTGGGGATGGGGGGGACTTAATACTTATCTTCTGACCCATGCCTTGGCCTGACCTGCCTGTCACCCCCAGAAACCCTTTACGCCAGCCAAGTACTTCTCCATTGACCGTGTGTTCCGGAATGAGACCCTGGATGCCACACACCTGGCCGAGTTCCACCAGATCGAGGGGGTTGTGGCTGACCATGGCCTTACTCTGGGCCACCTCATGGGCGTCCTTCGGGAGTTTTTCACCAAGCTGGGTGAGCAGGCAGGCCGGGGCAGGTGGTGTTGGTGGGTCTGCAGGAGGATGTCTGGGTCACCAGCCTTGTCTTCCTCCCAGGTATTACCCAGTTGCGCTTCAAGCCAGCCTACAACCCCTACACTGAGCCCAGCATGGAGGTGTTCAGCTACCACCAAGGTCGGGGTGGGACCTGGTACTGTGGTAGGGAGGGATGTCTGAGGCTGCCCCCTCTTAGCCCAGATTCCTTCACTGCCAAGCCCACACCCTGCCTCCCAAACTCACTGCCTCTGGCCCAACATCACCCACATTGTTTTTTTGCCCCTACAGGCTTGAAGAAGTGGGTGGAGGTTGGGAACTCAGGACTCTTCCGTCCTGAAATGCTGCTGCCCATGGGGCTCCCTGAGAATGTGTCAGTCATTGCCTGGGGTCTCTCCCTGGAGCGGTGAGTGCCCAAACCACTTAGCACGTGCTTGGCTGCTTTGCCTAGATGACTCGCCAGGTGTGAAGGCCCGCAGACCTTCAGCACTATCCATTCATTCACTAAGAAACTTAAGTGATCACCTGCTGTGGGCTGTGTTCTCTACTGTGAATAAGTAGCACATACCCTTGCCTCTTCTGGGGTCCTAGTGGAGTAAGAAGCATGCTGTGTTTGGAGGGAGAAAGTGAGGAGGTAGGGAGGTGATAGAGCATGTTGATCAGGGCCCTGTGGACCACAGAGAGGACTTGGGCTTCTACTCTGAGGAAGGTGGGAACTCTCAGAGGTTCTGATCAGAGGAGAACAGGACCTGACCTAGTAGTGTTAAAGCTTGTTCCCTCTCTCCCTTAAGCCCAACGATGATCAAATACGGCATCAACAATATCCGTGAGCTGGTAGGCCACAAGGTGAACCTGCAGATGGTGTATGACAGTCCCCTGTGCCGCCTGGATGCTGAACGGGCGTCCCCACAGACACAGGAGGCTGCATGACATGGGCCACCCTGAACAGGCTGCCTGCCCTGAGCCCTTGCCCAGTCCCTTTGCATCCCTGGCCAGTGGACTCCCTTGTATTTATGAGGCCTCTGTGAGGCTCTCGCCCTATTCCTTGTATCTCCTCTTCCCTACCTGCTTCAGGGTCCCAGGGGCAGGGGAGCGGGTAGCTCATTTGTTCTGATATCCATCTATGGGGGTGGGCCCTAGGGACCCCTGCAGGTTGGCTAATAAAGTGGGCATTTGTCCTCATCTGGCGCCTTTCCTTAGGGGTGGTTGGGTTATGTCGGCTCTCCCCAGTTCAGAGTGCTGCTTGATGGGAGGGAAACCTAGGTACTAGTGGGAGTGATGTTGGAATGGGGTCATGGATCCTCAGAGTCTCCTGGTCAGTTTCATTTACTCTCCCCTGGAAAAGATGAGCTCTTTCAAGCATTTACCAATCAATTAGCCAGAGGACTACTTGGTACCGTGCCCTCTTTTTGGGGAGGGCAAGCAAGCTTAAGCTTTTAAAAGTTGCCCCCACCCTCCTTTTAAACACAATTTTAGACCACTTTTACATTCACAGCAAAATCCAGTGGAAGGTACAGTGATTTACCACATACCCCCTGCCCTCCCACCTGCACAGCTCCCCCATTACCAACATCCCCACCAGAATGGTGCTGTTGTTACAGCTGTTGGACCTGTATTGACACGTGAACAGTGGTTCACTCTGTTGTACCTTGTACGGGTTTAGACAAAGGGATGATGACATGTATGCACCATTATGGTATCAAACAGTATTTTCACCACCCTGACTACCCTGGTCACCTGTGTTCCACCTGTTCATCCCTCTAGCCTCCCCAAAGCTGCTTTAAAAATCTTACAAGCCCAGAAAAGAGAGAAGATACAGTTTTATATCTTTGCTCCCATCATACAGTGTTTAGGATCTCACACTTGAGCTTCTTCTGTATGCTTTTGTGGAAGCAAATCCCAGCTGCCATGTCACTCACCCCACATCTTTAGGGACAGCGCACTTTTGAAAATAAAGTTTCTTGGGTAATCACAAGGCCACTGGCGCACCCAGTGAAGTTGACAAGTCAGCTGAGGCCATGGGCATCAGTGGTCCCAGGGCCCTGTGGGTACCAAGCTCCTGATAGCTCGTCTGTTAAATCTTTATTTCGTATTAAATAATTCACTCATACAGAAAAATACTGATTTGTGGTATAACAGTATACTTACTAAGTGCCAGCACTGTTCATGAGCTGAAACCTTGGCAGTAGGCAAAGTAGACTCAGGTCCCTGTGCTCGGGAGCTGACATGTGGGGAGGGTGCTCTAGAGACGTGATAAGTAAATTCAGAAGTAGTGAGAGAGGTAAGGCCTTACTGAAAAATAGCTGAGGGTGAAGAATATAATATAAACTGTAGTTCAATAACAACCAAGAATCACTCCACCCCACCCTTGCTTCAATCAATCTGATCACTGACTACAGTATTGCTTTGGGCCTATGTGACCAGTGGGTTTGAAGATCCTACGGGTTTGTCCTAGTTCCTTTCATCCCCACCCTGCTGAAGTTATTGCTCCCTCCCGAAACTGGGTGTTTATCATTCTCATATTTGAACCTTTTTCCTATTTTTATGTATTACTTTCTAAGACATGGTCTCATTTCTGCATGTTTTTAAAATTTATACAAATGATGCACCATAAAAATTATCCTGCCCTGGCTGGTGTGGCTCTGGATTGAGTGCCAGCCTGTGAACCAAAGGGTTGCTAGTTGATTCCCAGTCAGGGCACATGCCTGGGTTGCAGGCCATGTCCCCAGAGGGGGCATGTGAGAGGCAACTACACGTTAATGTTTCTCTTTTTTTTTCCTTCATTCCCCTCTCTAAAAATAAGTAAGCTTTTCAAAAAAATTAAATGAAAAATAAATTTTAAAAAGTCATTCTGCATGTTGTGTGTTGCTTTTGTTTGGATTCTGTTTGCTTGTGTTTGTGAGTGCATGTTTAACATAAGCCTTTGAGATTATCCTTGGTAGATTACTCCTCCAATTTTCAAGTAACTCTTGGTATGTTCCGGATGTTTTATCCCTGAAGCCCTTACAGTAGCTGGACATTTTCTTTTTTAAAATTGATCTTAGGGAAAAAGAAGCATCAGTTTGTCGTTCTACTTATTTATGGATTCACTGGTGTGTTCCCTGACCTGGGGTTGAACCCACAACCTTGAGGTATCAGGACGATTTTCTAGCCAATCGAGCTACCCGGCCAGGGCCTAGTACACAGGTGTTTTAGATTTACTACCTTGGTAGTAGAAGACAATGGGTTTTGAGTGAGTGGCAGTTGTATGATCATCGTTGTGGGTAAGAGATAGAACTCAGATTCAAATCCATGTTTTCCGGAATGTGGGTGTCTAAGATGTGTGCTCTAGGTATATGTGGCCTAAAACAGAGATCCCCACAAGGGCTGAGCAGTGTGAACGGCTTCCCACTGCCTCCTCCACATGCTACACTGGCATGTGGAGGTATCCCAGAGAAAACTTTTTCCCAACAAACTGGAACAAAATTCCAACCCTTTACCTTTCCCCAAACCCCACCTCTACCCAACCACAACCTCCCATAATCCTTGCTCTTTCCTACCAACAAGCCTTGTGGCTGCTCTTCAGCCTCACTGAGCTTCCTTCCACCTCAGGGCTTTTGCACACACCTATTCAAATCTTTTGCCCAGTTTCTTGATTTGGGTTTGTTTTATTATTGAGTTGCAAGAGTTCCTTTTAGATGCGAGTACAAGTTATTAGATTTATATTTTGCAAATATTTTCTCCCAGTCTGTGGCTTGTGTGCCAACAATAATATTAGGATTAAGTTATTGTTATTAACTATTATCATCAAAGAACACGGGTACAACTCTTAAGGACCAGATCCACCATACTTTCGAGAAACTTCAAGCTCTGGAGCACACAGGTACCTGATTCAAGGAGGTAACTGCATAAACTTTTTCACTGGAGGCTGTTAAGTCTAAATCAAGGAACAAGGGTCAGAATTTTAAAAAAGATTTTATTTATCTTTAGAGGGTAAGGGAAGGAGAGAGGGAGAGAAAAATCAATGTATGATTGCCTCTTGTGTGTCCCCTGCTGGGAAGTGGCCTGTAACCCAGGCATGTACCCTGACTGGGAATCGAACCCCGATTCTTTGGTTCACAAGCCCGAGCTCAATCCATTGAGCTATGCCAACCAGGCAGAATTTTTTTTTTTATTGAAAAGATTTCTTTGGGTAGAGTAGATGAACTGAAACGTAATGAATGAAGGAAGGGTCCGCTAGATTTCCACTATCCACCTCCGCCCCGCAACCTCTAAAGCCCGCACGCGCGCGCGCCTAAACTCCCCTCCACCCCACGCCCGCTCCCAGCTGGGTAGCGTAACCCTGGGACGGCCCAACGGCTCAACCGCCGTTAGCAGTGCGCGCGGCCGTTAACGTGCGCGTGCACGTTCCCAGAGAGAAACCTTGACAGAGGAGCGCGCCGCAGCGAGTCCAGGGGCCTGGGGCGGGGCCAGCGCGTGCGCAGAAGGATTAGAAGAGAGGCGGGAAAAGACAAGATGGAGCGACAGGCAGTACGCGACGCTTGTTTCCTTCGCGCGGGCGGCGGGCGGACAGGCAGGGAACGGCGGTGATCTCGGCTTTCCACTTCAGACCCGAGTCTGGCCACTTGTCTTCTGCCATCCGGGTTACCTTCGTCCTGCCGGACCCCGATTTCCTGACTGACTGACCAGGCCCTGACTGATGGACTGTGTGACTGACGCGCTGACAGAGGGGTCAGAAAGACAGACCCGGCGAGTGGCAGAAGCAGTTTAGACAGCGGCTCAGACACCCATGTGCCGCACCAGTATTCTTTTTATATTCCCTCTTGTCCTTCGAAGAACTCGACCCAGCCAGTTAGGAGCCCAGGCCTCCTGAAGCCCCTCCAGGTTTCCCTGCCTCTGTCCTCCAGGCGCAGGGTTCCCCCAGCTCAAGCCCTCGACCTCGCGGTGGGCGCCCCAGCTCCGCCCATCTCTTCTGCGGGCCCCCACCTTGTTGCAAGCAGGTGCCCAGGGCCAAAGGGGCAGGAGCAAGGGCTGACCACCACTTGCCACCCTCCCTCCTTCAGCTTCTCAAGTGCTGACTGTGCTCACAGGTGGACATACCACACGCAGAGTGCAAGGACCAGGAGCCACAGCCTTTGGGGGACAGCAAGGAGCAGCAGCAGGCCGAGGAGAGCCAGGAAGAGGAAGCTGGTCAGGAGCCAGCTAGGTGAGGCAGCCCCTGGCCCAGTGGGTCCAAACAGTGCCCTGGGGCCTTCTTCACCCATTTCTACCCCAAGGACCAGTGTCTGCTCTTGGTGCATTTGTTCCACATACTGGTTGCACATCTCTCGTGTGCCTGGCATGGGGCTAATTGCTGGGCACAGAGCAGTGAGCTGACACTGTCTAGAACAGGAGACACACTGTAAACTCAGGAATATACAGTAGTCAGTGATGCCGAGTGCTATGGGGGAAAAAATAGGGAGAGAGTGACAGGTAGCCCATTTAGATCCAAAGAGGGTCAAGGCCCCTCACTGGGGGGGGGGGGTGACAAGTAGACCATCCAGGCAGGGAGAACTATGTTTCAGGCAGGGAAACAACAGCTGCAAGGGCCCGGAAGGACGACTGTGCTGGAGTAGCATAGAGGGAGATAGTATGAGATACAGTCAGACAGGTAATGGGACTTTGGATGTTAATTACCCATGAAAAGTTTTGGAATAGAGGAGTGATGTGAAGTGATGGTAGCAGGGTTCGGACTAATGTTAATGAATTTGTGCTGGAACATATGTGGATGCCTCTGCAGAGTTGAGTTGTTGCAACTGGTACTAAATGGGCACAGAGCTGAAAGATTTACTATCTGGACTTTCATAGAAATTTGCAGGCTTCTGGACTAAAGAATTAAAAGACTCCCTCTGGCTGTCATGCAGAGAATAGATTGTTAGGGCAGGAGTGGAAGCTGGGAGACCAGTAAGGAGGCAATTGGAATAATCTTGGTACAAGATAACTCTGACTTGGCCCATGGTGGATCTATGGAGGTGATGAAAAGTGGTCAGATTCTGGATATATTTAAGAAGCTAGAAAGCCCTGGCTGGGTAACTCAGTTGGTTAGAGCATCATCCTGGTGTGCCAAGGTTGCAGGTTTGATCCCCAGGCAGAGCACATGCCAGATTCAACCAATAAGTGCATAAATGAGTGGAACAACAAGTCAATGTTTCTCTCTCTCAAAAAAATCAATAAAAAATCAATCAGTGAATGTTTAAATAAATGGAACAACAAATTTCTCTGTCTCTCTAAAATCAATAAAAAATAAAAGTCGATTTTAAAAGCTTAAACTGAAAGAAAATGTGAATGAATTAGATGCTGGAGTAAAAGAAAGAGCAGTGTCATGGATGACAAAAAAAGGGTTTTGTCTTGCACATTTATTAATTCATTTATTAATTCACCAAATATTTATTGAAGATTAGCTTTGGCTAGACCAGACTGGGGATACAGCAGTGAACAAATCAGAATCCCTGCTCTCTGGAACCTGCTTTCTTTCACTTAATAATATGTGTGCATTTAACATTCCTCTGTGTCTTTTCATTTCTTTTAAAGACATTTCTTAAAACTGATTTGAGCCCTGGCTGGTATAGCTCAGTGAATTGAGCATGGGCTTGGAACCAGAGGGTTGCCAGTTCAATTCCCAATCAGGGCATATGCCTAGGTTGTGGGCCAGGCCCCAATATGGGGAGCGTGAGGAGCAACCACACACTGATAGTTCTTTCCTCTTCTTTCTTTTTCTCTTCCCCTCTCTCTAAAAAGAAATAAATAAAATCTTTTAAAAAACTGATTTGAGTGAGAGAAACATATATTGGTCACTTCTTGTATGTGCCCTGACTGGGGATTGAACCTGCAATCTTGGTGTATTGGGATGATGCTCTAACCAACTGAGCTACCCTGCTGGGGCCCATTTCTTAATGGCTCATTTCTTTTTAGCACTAAGTAGTATTCTATTGTGTAGATGTACCACAGTTCATTTATCTATTTATCTATTGAAGGACATTTTGGTGGCTTCCAAGTTTTGGCAGTTATGAATAAAGCTGCCATAAACATTCATGTGTATCTAGTTTTCCAACTCCTGTGGGTATTTACCAAGAAGCATGATGGCTAGATCATATGGTAAGAGTATGTTTGTTTTGTAAAAAAACGCCAAACTGTCTTCCAAAGTGGCTGTACCATTTTATATTCCCATCATCAATGAATGAGAGTTCCCGTTGCTCCACATCCTCACCAGCACTTCTCAGTGTTTTGGATTTTCACCATTCTGACTGGGTGTGTAGTAGTATCTCATTTGTTGATTTGCAGTTTCTGGATGAGGTATAAAGTTGAACATATTTCCACATGCTTTTTTTGCCATCTGCATATCTTTTTTGGTGGAGTGTCTGTTAGGTCTCTTGCCCATTTTTTAATAGGGCTGTTTTCTAACTGTTGAGTTTTAAAAGTTCTTTCTATGTTTTATTATTATTTTTTTTAATATTCACCTGAGGACATGCTTATTGATTTTAGAGAGAGGGGAAGGGAGGGATGGAAAAAGAGAGGGAGAGAAACATCAATTGGTTGCCTTCTGAACACACCCCAACCAAGGGATTGAACCCACAACCTTGGCACATGCTCTGCCTGAGAATTGAACCTGTGAGCTTTCAGTTTGCAGGACAATGCCCAACCAAGTGAGTCATACCAGCCAGGGCTGTTAGTATATTTTAGATATAAGTTCTTTATCAGATATGTGTTCTATAAAGACTTGTTCCCAGTCTGTGGCTTGTCTTTTCATTCTCTTAACAGTGTCCTTTGTAGGGCAGAAATGATTAGTTCTAACGAAGTCAAGGTAATCAATTTTGGGGGATGTTGTATCCAGGAAATCACCATCAAACCCAGGGTCACCTAGATTTTCTTCTGTTATCTTCTAGGAGTCTTACAGTTTTGTGTGTTATATTTAGATTTATGATCCATTTTAAAGTTTTTTGCATGTGGATGTTCCAGCACCATTTATTACAAAGATTCTCCTTTGTCCATTGAATTTTATTTGCTCTTTGCAAAAATCAAGTTACTATATATGTGTGGGCTGTCTATTCTGTTCCATTGATTTATAGTTTATTCTTTCACCAGTACCACACTATCTAGACAATTGTAGCTGTATGGCAAATCTATATGAAGCATCAGTCCTTTGACTTTGTTCTTCAGTATTGTGTTGGCTATTCTGAGTCTGTTGGCAAGCTGGCTTTCTAAAAGAGAGATAGGTGATTTTTAAAAAAGAATGTGATTTCAGCTGATGGTAAGTATTTTGAAGAAACAAAGCAGAATAAGAAGTGACTAAAGTAATAGGGCATTAAGAGTAGTTGGAGAAGACCTATAAGGAGGTCACATGAGAAACAGCCAGTCAGGAAGCATCTGGAGACCCAAACATGCCAGCAGAGCACTTAGTCCCTGAGGTAGAAATAAGCTGGGTGTGCTCATAAAAGAGCGAGGAGGCCACCATGTCAGGCTGAATAACATTCCATATTGTGGATCTACCACATTTTATTTATTCATTCATTGGTTGAAGAACATTTGGATTGTTTCCACTCTTTAGCTCTTGTGAATAATGCTGCTGTGAACGTCCATGAACAGGTTTTGGCATGGACATAAGTTTTCATTTCTCTTGGGTAGATATCTAGGAAACGAATTTCTGGGGCAGTAAAGAAACATACTCAGGTTCCTATTAAAAAGACACTGGCAGCTTTGTGGAGGATGGGTGGGCAGGGGTCTGAGGGGATGTGAGAAGATCAGGTGGGAGGCTCCTGTGGGGGTAGCATCTAACAGAGCAGATGGAGAGAAGCTCTGGGTGGCAGGGTCTTTTGTGAGGCATGAGGAAGGGGATGAGCCCAGGATATTTCCCCACTTGTGTGCTCAGAAAACAGTGAGAATGCTGGCATGTCAGGTGTTGTGACTGGCAGCAGAGATACTGGATCCTGGTATGTTGTAGTGTACTGGAGCTGGTTCCTACCAGCTCACAAGATCAGTTCCACTGATCTCTTCCCAACCTGGCATTTAACAACTTCATATTAGTATCTTGAAATTGGCTATAGTGGGAGTTTTTGTAGCATGGAAATTGTCAAACACTACAAATCAGGGCTTTATTCTCCCCTCTGCCCACCCAGAGAGCCAGTTGCTTACCAGCACATCACTGACCCCCCGCTTTCTGGTTTCCACTAGGTGGGGGTTTCACTGACAGAGGCAAAAGCACAAGTTTCATTTGTCCTTGTTGAATTTGAGGTGGCCAGGGACATGTACATGAATGTATCCAGATACAGTTGGGCTTTCTGACCCACAACTCAGGAGGGCCAGGGGCAAGAGATGCCACTGTGGGACTCACTGTTTTAATGGTAGTTGTGGGGAGCATGAGCTCATCACCCAGGGAGAGAGTGAGAGGAAGCCAGGCTCAGGACAGGACCCTGAGGACTCTAGGCTTGAAGCTAGCGTCCCCTACCTCCCAGATTCCAGGTTGTAAAGCCAGCTACAGGGTGGATGGCTTCCAAGTGTGTGCCGTCACATGGAGACCAAGAAAAAGAAGGAAATGACTGAAGTCGTTTGTTTGATAATATCTTCCTGCAAATAACGTGTTCAGTCCTGATCTAAGTGATGAAGAGACACAGATAATTGCAAATCATTGTGAGACTATAAGGAGTTCCACAGGAGCTTTGGGTGGAAAAATGGATGAGAACCAGTGCAAGGTGTTGAATAGGTCCAGCAGCAGACACTCGGCAACATGATTAAAATGTGAATGTATTTTAGGAAACAAAAGCAGGGGAACAGGCTCAGCAGCTTCTATTTAGACCTTACCTCTTCCTGGCTATACTTCAGCAAAACCTCATTTTGCCTGAGATTCTGTTGTGTTCCTCCTTGAATATTTGATTAGGTGACCTCCCCTCCTGGGACTGCCACCTGTGGTGGTCATAACTAGCTGGTGGATTGTTCACTGGTATATATCTGTTAAAGGCCATCAAGGGAACATGCAACCAGCAGGCAGCTCTCGCTCACACGCCAGCCAATCAAGGTTTACTTGTAATGAACAGATGGTCTCTTCTCTTAGACCAGGGGTGTCAAACTCATTTTCATGGGGGGCCACATCAGCCTCGTGGTTGCCTTCAAAGAGCCAAATGTAATTTTAGGACTATATAAATAGAACTACTCCTCAACTAGGGGCAAGGAGCT